AAAAAATTGGAGATGTTAGTCAGATGCCTGCATTTTAATGTTTCTGTCTTTAGTTAAGATGGGAAGTGGAAGGCACCTTTTGTATACCTTCTGGCCATTTGGCAATTGGGAGATTTGCAAAGCCCAGGAAATTTAAAGTCCATTTGCATCTCAACAAGGACACCTCTCTTGCAATCCAGTATGCCTCCATTCATATGAGCTCAAAGGCCTCTTTGTAGGCAGAGGATTTTGTCACCTGTTTGGTTTGTAACATCTTATTAATATTTAATATATATAAACAAAATATTAATAGAGGTGTTATATTATTATTGTTTTGTTGTTTTTCTTTTTTTATATTAAAATATGCATTATTGTTATATAATAAATATTGAGAGCCAGCATGGCGCAGTGGTTTGAGTGTTGGACTGAGACTCTGGAGACCAGGGTTGGATTCCCGGCTTGGCCTGGGTGACCTTGGGCAAGTCACACTCTCTCAGCCTCAGGGGAAGGTAATGGTAACTACCTCTGAACAAATTTTGCTATGAAAACCCTATGATAGAGTTGCCTTGGGGTTGCCATAAGTCAGAAACGATTGTTGTTGTTGTTGTTGTTATTTCTAACTCTCACAGATCAAGGCAGAGAACAACAGTATCACATCAGTTAAAACCACACATCAATTTAAAAGGACAAATCAGAAGTTTGTTGTTGTTGTTGTCTACCATCAGGTCGTTTCCCTGATTTATGGCGATCCTAAAGCAAAATTATCATGGGATTTTCTTAGCAAGTTTCCTCAGAGGGGGTTTGCCATGGCCATCCTCTGAAGCTGAGAGAGTGTGACATGCCAAATGTGACTTGCCCAAGCTCTGCTCTTGTGCCACAACAATCTACAGTTCCCAGAATTCCACAGCATTGAGCCATGGCAATTAAAGTGTTGTCAAACCGGATTATTTCTGCAGTGCAGATGCAACCTAGGAAGCCCATTAAGTAACACCACATTAGTTGTTCCCCTTCAATAAATTTGTCTACTTGGCAGCCTGTCCTCACTAGAAAGAAGGGGAGAGAATGGATCCTTCTAGATGTTCTTATTTCCTAGGAACAGCAGCAGCAGCAGGCAAGACTCGCACCCAGAGCTCAGGGCACATTTGTTCTTTTGAGGGGGGAAAGACAGCAAAAGTATTAGGCAATGGGCTGCTTGGGGACAGAATGCAAATGTTGAAGGGTCCCCCCCTTTATTTAAGTACAATGGACAAATCAAAGGAATAATTTAAATGTAGATTCAGTCAAGGGTTTGTTGCTAGCAAAGGACAATTTTAAGCATTTGTCTTGCTGATTGTTCTGTAAGTATATTGCAAGCCAACAAGGCATTTTAACAAAGATAAGTTCATCCGAAAAATATGGTTGAGTATATAATTAAATACAATACAGTGGGCCCTTGGTATCCACTAGGATTTGGTTTCAGGATGCCTAAATCTGTGGATGCTCAAGTCCCATTAAATACCATCGCACAATAAAATGGTGTCCCTTATGTAAAATGGCAAAATCAAGCTTTGCTGTTTGGAATTTGTATCATTTTAAATATTTTCAAACCATGGACGGTTGAATCCGTGGATAAAGAATCTGTGGATAGGGAGGGTCGGCTATATATGTAATATAGCTGTAAATAAACCATATGAAATGAATTTATACAGTTGCCTTCCATTTACACAGATTGTTTTATCCACAGGTTCAATCATCCACAGATTGAAAACATTCCATATATATCTATATATATATCTATATCTATATCTATATATATATTCCCAAAAGCAAACCTTGATTTTGTCATTTTACAGAAGGAACACCATCTTTTACCACGCCACGGTATTTAATGGGACTTGAGCATCCACAGATTTTGGGGCCCTGGAACCAAACCCCAGCGGCTGCCAAGGGCCCCCTGTATCTTGCAAGCCAACAAGGCATTTTCATAAAGCTGGGTTCATCAGGAAAAAAATATGGTTGAGTAAAACATAATGAAAGACGGTATAGGTGGTCATTGAAACAAACCCCTGTCAAATGTGCATGGTTGGTTTTAGCTTTTATTTGGTAATGCGCCTACGTATTTCTTGAGTGTCCAACATTTTGCAGGGCCTGGTCGTCCTTTGTGGTTAAGGACATCTGGTCACCCTGGGTAAAGTCCTTTTCCTGGGGGTGAAATATTCCCCCCACAGTGTATCCCGCCTCCCAATGATCAATAAAATCCTAGTCAGACGGACGATTTGACCAGAAGGAGCCAAGGATATGGATGCACCAGGAGTAGCCGGCAGAAGACAGTTAGTGAGAATTAGCAAATGCATGAGCATCAGGCGCCAGTGAGACGACAGAGACAGAGACTGACACTCAATTATCTCCCAAACAGTCCCATGCAAACACACAGGCTCTGCCTGATCAATATCAGACCCAAAGTGATCTCCTTTCTGAGATGCTAATTCATTTATTAAGGAACTCTCTCACCAACCCAGGCGGCAGGATTACTCTTGCCTTTTCTTTTCTTTTCTTTTCTTTTCTTTTCTTTTCTTTTCTTTTTTCCCTTTCCTTTCCTTTCTTTTCTTCTTTCTTTCATGTCTTTCCACAGTTTGTTGCACTACAACTCTAGATTTACTGAGACAACTGTACATGATCACCAGATACGGTTTTACAAGTGTTGCAGATTTCTTGCTTGATGCCGTGGTGCCACAACAAATGATTTCTTTTAGGGAGCATATCACTCGGGCTGCTTCCGCACTGCAGAAATAATCCAATTTGACACCACTTTAACTGGGTTAGGGATGGGGTCGTTTGACTGTTTTAACTTGTAATGTTGTTTTAATATGCTGTACGGCACCTCGATTGCGCTGCAGAGAGGCGGCTAATAATAATAATAATAATAATAATAATAATAATAATAATAATTGCCATGGCTCAAGGCTGTGGAATTTGGGGGAGTGAAGTTTGTTGTGGTACCAGAGCTCTCTGGCAGTGACGGCTAAATGTCCCACAAAACTACAATTCCCCTAATTCCATAGCATTGAACCATGACAGTTAAAGTGGTGTCAAACTGGACTATTTTTCCTTTGCGGATGCAGCCCTTGTGGATTTTTCCCCCCCACCCCAGATTACAAAATCATAGTATCCTAATCTATCTTTGTTGTTGTTGTTGTTGTTGTTGTTGTTGTTGTGTGCCTTCAAGTCATTTCCAATTTATGGCGACCCTAATGGGGTTTCTTGGCAAGTTTCTTCAAAGGGGGTTTGGAGTGGGTGTCTGCAATACCCATCCTCATTTTGCCATCCTCTGAAGCTGAGAGAGTGTGCCTTGTTCAAAGTCACCCAGTGGATTTCCATGGTTGAGCGAGGAATTCAAACCCTGGTCTCCAGAATCATAGTCCAACACACTCAAACCACTAAACCCCGCTGGCTCTCATACCGTTTATTCCAAAGCCAAACTCCTAGTGTTCATTAGGGTTTACTCCAGGTCAGAGTGTATAGATCTTAGAAAACAATCCTAAGTACTGTATACTTACCAAATATGCGGTAGTGCTGTTACCTTCAAAGAGAGTCACTTCATTAGGGTTCGAAGAAGATGCATCTTAGCAAAGCCATCCTTGACAGCTGTTCTTTTCTTTAAAATCACATGAAAAGGAAATTCCTTGACATCCTTCAGAAGCTTCCTGCACAGATGAACTTCTGTTCCATTAGATGGATGGTGAATAAGAAAGAGTGTGTGTGTAAATGGTCTCCACCTCACATGGACTAACAACCCTTGTTTATTACAACTATCATACAAACAGCCAAATACTACTAATGCATCATTGTGCTGTGTCAGGTTCCAGCATCCGCAAAAGTGACTTTCCCTAATACCCAGAGAGTATAGCTACTAAACTTAGGTTTAGTCATTTCATTCCATTTCAGAGATCCAGGGGCCCTTTCACACTACAGAATTATAACACTATGGTCCCACTTTAACTGCCATGGCAGCATTTTATGGAATTGTGGGGCTTGGAGTTTAGTGAGGCACTAGAACTCTCTGGCTAAGAATTTAAAGTTCCTCTCCCTAAATGCCAAAGCCCAGGATTCAGTAGGATGGAACCATGGACTTTTTCAGTATTGTGGAATCATGGACTTTTTCACATTGCACAATTATGATTCCACTTTTACTTGGGTAAAAGTGAAAACATCATTGTGCAATGTGAAAAAGTCCATGATTCCACTTTTATGTTCTGCTCGCAATGATTCCCAAACTCTGGTCCTCCCAGTGTTTTGGACTTCAGCTCCCAGAAGCCTCAGTCATCTTGGCCAATGGTTTGGGATTGTGGGAAATGAAGTCCAAAATACCTGGAATGCCCAAATTTGGGAATCTCGGTGAAATCTAGCAAACCCTCCTGTCCTACAGAACTGGAGCTTTCTAGCAGAATTATCTAAGTGCCTCATCAAACAATTTTCCGTATCATTAAAGGACTCACGGTAGCTGCAATAACAGCACAGTGACCAATATGTCTCATCCTACTTAGATGACCATCTGGCCACATAGAAACTGTGGCATAAGCTGATGCAGGGTTTCCTACCAGCTGGCTGTCTCAATTCATGACAAATCACTCCATTAGTACCATATGCTCTCTTGTTCAGATTTCTTGTTCCACTGCAACACTGACTTCAAACAAAGCATTATTCCCAGACCCTACAGTGCCCTAATGGGCTCACCAACAGTGATTTAAAAAGCAAACCCAGCAGCTGATATAGACATTGCTTTTCAGTAGCTGTCAAACCAATGATATAAATAGGCAAATTGGTCAGTTTCATTTTCTTTCCTACTCTTTTTTTTTCTTTAAAAAAAAATCTCCCAAGTTCTTTCTGTCCAGTTTATGAAGAATTTTGTGAATTTTATTGAGTCTTAAACAAAACTCTCTCCGGTCTGCACTGGCCAAATTCATAGAGCTCAGGTCTACAAAAGTTCATGTTGCCAACTTCTTTCTTTCAGTCAGTCTCAAAGATGCTACAAGATCCCTTTGTGTACTGACTTTCCAGACTAACACTGCTATTTCTTTGAACTATACCAAACATGGTGAAGATCATGTTGTAGCTACAAGTATCTGTCACATAGATGTTAAGAGCTGCTCAGGAAAAACAGTAGTGGTGTCCCTAATTCAGCCCCACAATCATGAGAGCAACTCACAATTTTGAGAGCAAAATGCTGAAAGTCTTCTAGCATGGATGAATGAATCTGTCAGTCCTGCTTTCTCCCACATATCAGTTTTTTAAAATCAAATCAAATCTTTCCCTCTTAATTTATGAAGAAATTTGCAATATTTTGGAAATGAACCAGCCTAATTCTCACCCATCACTGTCATGCATGCATGTATATACCCTCTGGTTTGGTTGACTTTGAGTCAGTAATTTTTCTTTACCCTAATCCTTTCCAACATAACCATGGGCCTAAGCAGACTGCCAGAAAT